GTTAGGTCTCATTTGAGACAGAGCACACCAGAAATATTAGGAGAAGTAGGGCATAAACATTAGGAGATGGAAAAGTAAAAAAAAAGTTTGATATGATGACCTAAGGATGTGCCATGCAGAGGGAGTATTAATGTGTACAGTGGACAGAGACAAACCTTGTCTTCCTGAAAAAAAGGGATAATTTATTGGAGTAATAGCAAAGCATATGAAACTGTCTGGGAATGTTTGCAATTTTTATTTTTGTACAGTTTCTGCTTTGGAATTGGAAGATTCTGGGTCTTAACACAGACCTGCCATGGCATTCTACTGAGGTCATTTTTTTTACCCATGATTAATTATTGTTCAGGCTTTGGTTATTTTCTTTTAACTTAAGGGATGCAAAATCCCCCAAGTGAACACTGAACTTATAGCTTTTTTCAAAGTTGATTGCTAATAGAGTCATTCCCATACTGTGAAGGCATTAAATTGTTTCAACCTCTGGAGAAAGAGCGTTCTTACCCTGTCCTTAAGCATCTCTGATGATAGAAAATTCATTGTGATTCTTCCTGCATTTTTACTTCTGTTCTCTTGAACTCATCAACCATTTCAACTTTTTAACCCCTCTAATTATTCTACCAAAAGTGCCTCCTCACAGCTGTCTATGGCACAGAAAAACAATGTTAGGTAAAATTGCTTTGTGCCTTAGCATGAATCAAGGCAGTGGCATCAAACTGTACTTGTATTCTTCATTGCTGTGTACTAACAATAAAAGACATAAGCACAAAGACATGCACATACCCCCAAACCTTATTTTACTTAAGAATTTTTTTTTTTTTTTTTTGAGACGGAGTGTAGCTCTTGTTACCCAGGCTGGAGTACCATGGCGTGATCTCGGCTCACCGCAACCTCCTCCTCGGTTCAGGCAATTCTCCTGTCTCAGCCTCCTGAGTAGCTGGGATTATAGGCACGTGCCACCGTGCCCAGTTGATTTTTTGTAGTTTTAGTAGAGACGGGGTTTCACCATGTTGACCAGGATGGTCTTGATCTCTTGACCTCGTGATCCACCTGCCTCGGCCTCCGAAAGTGCTGGGATTACAGGCGGGAGCCACCGCGCCCGGCCCAGAGTTTCTTTTTTTTTTTGAGACAGAGTTTTGCTCTGTTGCCCAGGCTGTAGTGCAGTGGTGTGATCTCGGCTCACTGCAACCTCTGCCTCCCAAGTTCAAGCGGTTCTCCTGCCTCAGCCTCTTGAGTAGCTAGGATTACAGGCATGCGCCACCAAGCCTAGATGATTTTGTATTTTTAGTAGAGACATGGGGTTTGCTATGTTGGCCAGGTTTGTCTTGAACTCTGGCCTCAAATGATTCATCTGCCTCAGCCTCCCAAAATGCTGGAATTACAGGTGTGAAGCACCGTGGTAAGATTTTTAATATCATGTGATAAAATAGAAATGGCATAAACCACTTGTGCCAGCAGAACTAGCAGCTTTTTCATGGAACACCATTTTTACTTGAAACAGTGACTGATTTCTGTATAAGGCAGATGTTTTCTTGAATTGCCAATCTACTTTTTATGTTTATCTTACTTACCATTTTTTGTTTTTTTATTTGTTCCTGTGAGTTCGAGTTAGCATCTTGTGTACTTCTCTTCCTCCCTCTCACTTCCGTTCCCTCCTCCTCCCCTTCCCCCTCCCCCTTCCCTTCCCTTCACTTCCTTTTTGACAAGTTCTCTCTCTCTGTTGCTCAGGCTGGAGTGCGATGGCACAATCACAGCTCACTGCAGTCTAGACCTCCTGGCCTCATATAGTCCTCCCACCCCAGACTCCTAAGTAGCTGGGACCACAGACACATGCCACCATGCCCAGCTAACTTTTATTTTTTGATTTTTTTAGAGACATTCTCCCTGTTGCCAGGCTGCTGTTGAACCTGGGATCCTCCTGCCTCAGCCTCCCAAAGTGCTGGGATTACAGGCATGAGCCATGCTGCACCTGGCCTTGTGTCATTTCTTTTGAAACAGTTTTGTTCCTACATACTTCCTTTGTGCTATTGTTGCCAAATATATTACATTTCTACATATTATGGGTCTAACAATACAATTATGTACATATTTTGTATATTTGCTTTAGAGGAAATATGCATTTATGCTATTATAATTTTGTTGGTGGGGTGTGTGTGTGAGAGTGTGTGTGTGTGTGTGTGTGTGTGTGTGTGTGTGTGTATTTGAATTTCCTGCTGGGTTTACTTGCTTTCAGTCATGTTAGTATTTATTGTTAGATGGCTCTGCTAATAACAAATTCAGTTTTTGTTTATTTGGGAGTGTGTATTTCACCTTCATTTTTGAAAGACAGCTTTGCTGGATATAACATTCTCTGGTGACAGCACCCCCTTTCCCCAGCCTGCATACTTGGAATTTGTCATCTCACTGCTTTCTGGCCTTCATTGTTTCTGATGAGAAGTCAACTGTTAATCTTATTAGGGTTTCCTTGTATGTGATATATTGTATTTTTCTTGTTGCTTTCAAGATTTTTTTTTTGCCTTTCAGCATTTTTACTATGATGTGGCTGGGTGTAGATCTCTTTGCATTTATCCTACTTGGAATTTGTTGAGCTGCTTGGATGTGTAGATAATGTTTTTCAGCAAATTTGGGAAGGTACCAGTTATTTCTTTGGATATCTTTAAAATGTATTTCTTTTAAACTGAAACATTCTGTACCCATTAAACACTAACTCCCTACTCCCCATTCTTCCTAGTTGTTGGCTGCCATTCTCTTTCCATTTCTATGACTTTGAGTGTCTAGGTACCTCATATAATTGGAATAGTTATCCTTTTTGTCTGACTTATTTCACTTAGCATAATGTCTTCAAGGTTCATCCATGTTTTAGTATGTGACAGGGTTTCCCAGAATTTCTGTATTTTTAGGTATTGAAATTAGGTATTCCTAATACTTAGAAACTTTTCGAAACTTTTTTCTTTAATTTCTCTGCTCATTTTATTTTTACTAAACTTTTATGCTATTTTTAGAATTATTGTCTATCTAGTTTTACATGTCACTGTGTGTTTAATTAGTGAAAAATATAATTTGGAAAAGTGAAACCAAATACTGCTTTGTTAACTTTAAAAGTTGATGGTGGTATGCTTTGCTGTTTATGGAATGTCTAATATATAAGTTAAATGTAATTTCACAGTATTTAATGATTTTTTTTCCTTTAAGTACTCTTATAGGGTACTTTTTTTTTTTTTTTGAGATGGAGTCTCGCTCTGTTGCCCAGGTTGGAGTGCAGTGGTGTGATCTCAGCTCACTGCCTTCCGAGTTCAAGCAATTCTCCTGCCTCAGCCTCCCAAGTAGGTGGGCTCACAGGAGCGCACCTCCACACCCAGCTGATTTTTGTATTTTTATTTTTTATTTTATTTTATTTTTTTAAAGATGGGGTTTCACCATATTGGTCTGGCTGGTCTCGAACTCCTGACCTCAGGTGATCCACCCACCTCAGCCTCCCAAAGTGCTGGGATTACAGGTGTAAGCCACTGCGCCCAGCTGATTTTTGTATTTTTAGTAGAGATGGAGTTTCACCATGTTGGCCAGGCTGGTCTCAAACTCCTGGCATCAGGTGATCTGCCTGCCTCAGCCTCCCAAAGTGCTGGAATTACTGGCGTGAGCCACAGCACCCAGCTGTATAGTGTATTTTTCTATTTGTATATAATTTAATGAAATTGCTGATTCTCAATTTGTTTTCTAAACTCCCAGTCTGCATATTTGCTCAATTCAGTAGTGACTCCCTGTAAGGAGAAGGTCACGACTGCCCTTTCTTTGAGTACGAAGAGTGTGAATAACACCCAGCTGTCCCCTGAAGTCACTGGTTAGTGTGTCTTAACTGCATGTGACATAATCAAGATATTAAAATTTAATTCACTTTTATTCTTTATCTAAACCCAGTCATGAGATTCAAGACATTATTTGCTCATGACCATGGCCTGCGTACCTCAACCTAAAGCTGTTATTTTGATGACAGCTGCCTCAAATGTGTTATCTTGGGGTGTTTGCTGAGTCTTCGCCTCACTTAGAGTAGGCAATGAATGGACATTGAGAATTGTTATCATTTTGTTTTAAACTTCTTTGTTTGGAGAGAGTATTTGTGATTTGAGGTACCTTTTATATTTTTCTTTGTCTTAAGGTTTTTAACAAATAAAAACTTTGATTAACTTATAAAATATCCCACTGGTATAAAATAAGCTCTATAAGTAAGTCTTATATATGGTCTTTTATTCTCTAAACAGAGACTCTACAGGGGCAGGTAATTCACTGGTCCACAAGCGGTCTCCTTTACGTCGAAACCAAAAGACCCCAACATCCTTGACCAAGCTGTCTTTACAGGATGGACATAAAGCCAAAAAGCCAGCATGTAAATTTGAAGAGGGTCAGGATGTCCTAGCTAGATGGTCAGATGGCTTGTTTTATCTTGGCACTATCAAAAAGGCAAGTTACCTTAATGTATGTTTTGCTGTTTTTGCAGTAAGCATTTAATAATCTTAAACTTAATGTTTTTAATTTTAAGAGATCACCGTTAAGTATTTCTCTGTATTGCAGATAAACATATTGAAACAGAGCTGCTTCATCATATTTGAAGACAGTTCTAAATCCTGGGTTCTCTGGAAGGACATTCAAACAGGCAGGTGCTACTATTTCTCTTGAACATGATTTAAATTAAAATTTGATTTTCTTCAGCTTGTCATATTATGGTGTTGTCTGTTGAATACAGTGTATTTAGATAACTCAGTATTACTTCTAAGGAGAGGTTAAAAAATCAGCATAGTCTTTATTATAGACCATAAGAAGAACGAGAATACTCTTAAGGTAAAGATAGACTAGAGGACAGATGCATCACTAATTTATACCCATAAGCTATATTAAGACCCTTCTCTCTAAAAAAAAAAAAAAAAAAAAGAGGCCGGGCACAGTGGCTCACTCCTGTAATCCCAGCACTTTGGGAGGCCAAGGTGGGAGGATCACCTGTAGTCGGGAGTTTGAGACCAGCCTGAGCAACATGGAGAAACCCGTCTCTAAAAAAAAAAAAAAGACCCTTCTTAGAACTTTGAAGAAAAATCTTTAGTAACTAATCTAAGTAACAGTTTGGGATTCAATTTAACTGTTACTTTGTTACTTGCTTATATTTGTAGAAAGCAACTATTTATTGCGAGCATACTATTTGTCAGATGATTTGGGAAATTAGGACATACAAAACTGCTTTAGAATAATAGAAATATTCATTAATAAAAATGGTTTAAAATTACCATTTAGTTACATGGGTTTTTTTATGTTTAGATGGGAAAATGAGGCTACATTTGTGTGCCAGTAAAAATGAATACAAGTGTGCCTTGGTTTGGTTATAGGTATGCTTCTTGGGATGATTTCTATTATTAGAAACTATGACTGTTTCATGCTTTTAAAGTCTGCTAAATATAGATGTTTTTCCAAGTAACTTTTTCATGCAAAGTACTTTTAAAAATTATTAATCTTTACTAAAAACCTGAGTATTTTAGTAGTTCATTAAAGCCCTACTTTTGATTTTCCTTTTGCTGGATTAATAGGCCTACACCAAGACCTGTGTTTTGTATATTCTTGTAGAAAAGAGATAAATTTTCTCCCTAAAGGGTAGACACCTTGCTAAAGTGTTTAATGATTGAATTTTATATTTGAATCCCAAGTTCAGTTTTATGGTAGGTTTCTGCTGTGTTTTAGTTCTTGACTTCACTCCTAATATTTCTTAAAGAATAAAAAAAGTTTTGGTAAAGGAATTGGAATGTTCTAATTACCATCTGTATAATTGGTACTCAGGGCTTAGGTGGGAAATGAAATAAATTACTCTGGTAATTTATTTGGTAAAATGTTACTCTGGTAAAATGTTTTTCTAGATAGACTTTTTATGGTTACTGGACTGATAAGTTTAAAGGACTAAAGTTATGTTTTGAATCTGAAATCGAAGAGCCAGTAAGAACAGTGTGAATCATAAGATGTAAAGGGATAGGAGATCTCCAACACTACTACTAATATTGAGCAGATCTTATTACCCTGCACACAAAATTATTCCTTTTTCTTTATTTTGTAAACGTGGGTCTCTCTAATAGCACTGAAACATGTTATGCTGCTTTTTACTCCCCTTCCATTAGTTATGTATTTCTTTCCACTTTTAAAGATCTTTTGGAGTTTCCTGTGGATTTAATGTAATAGGTCTGTCTGTCCTTTTGTCCACTTTCTCCTTTCTACTTCCCCTTCTTTGCTTTTAAAACTGGCAGAAAAGAAGAAAACTAATGTTATGTAGAGTTAGAAAGTTATTGCTTGAGGGGTACTTTGCTGTTCTACAACTGCTGAACCCAGTATGTCAGTTTAATGTTCTATGGTTGTTCTTTCTTAACTGGTTCCTTTTGCTGTTCCTGGAATTACAAAGGATTGCTGTGGTCATTTAACTCTTCATAGCACCTTGATAGTAGCACACAGGAAACTTGCAGTTGCTATAGAAATAAATAAATTAATCTGAAAACTGCATCATGTCATGTTTTAGTGAGGAGTTGGTTTAGTAGTTTTCTTCTCTGTAAGAAACCTGCTAATAATATGTATCAAAATAATTTAATAAATTATATATATCTAATGAGATTCTTTTAAAAATTTTACATAAAGAAGAATGTTAATAGTCAACAGGGTGAAATATATCATGTTACAACTATTGGATAAATGTAAGAGGGATTTAAATCTTAGCATCTAATGCTATTTTGGTTTCTGTGAAATGATGTACTGTTGCATTGCTGGTGGCAGTGGAAATTTCTATTTTGGTTATTTAGCATTTGCATTAAATGCAAACAAAGTTTATGATTATCTAATAGACTCATTTCTAGCAGTTTATTTTTTTTTGAGAAATAATTTTTTAAAACTAGATGAAAAATGTTCCTTGAGCTTTATTTTAAAAAGAACAAAAAATTTGCTATTTCTAATATGAAACGGTGAGGACTTTCTAGTCAACTGGATTTGGAGTAAGGGAGACTATAGAAGATTACTAAGCTATATAGGAAGGTTCTTGTAAACTTGGTGGTTAAAAAATACATATATGTTTGATTTCACAAGTAAAAGTTAATTTCTAGCTTCCTCAGGATTGCTTCTTGGGTTACTACCCCCTTTTCTGAGGATTTACCTTCCCCTTCATTAGTACAGGTAGTTACAGTGAGAGTCAGGTCAGGCACCTACCTTAGGAGGGGGCTATCATTCCATTTCCAGGGAATTGTAAATTTTCACGGAAAGGTCCCAGGCTTAATCTGGGTGCTCTCATGACCGGAACCATAAACCCAGAAGCTATGGGAGGCCACCTTCAATAAGGTCTGCTAAGAAGCAAACAGCTGGGTGCAGTGGCTTATGTCCGTAATCCCAGTGCTTTGGGAGGCAGAGGCAGAGGCCGAGGCCGAGGCAGAGGCAGGAGGATTGCTGGAGCCCAGGAATTTGAGACCAGCTTGGGCAATGTAGGGAGATCCTGTCTCTACAAAACAAAACAAAAAAATATCAGTCAGGCATGGTGGCACACGCCTGTGGTTCCAGTTACTTGGGAGGCTGAGGTGAGAGCATTGCTTGGGCTTGGGAAGTTAAGGCTGCAGTGAGCTGTCACTGTGCCACTATACTTCAGCCTGGATGGTACAGCAAGACCTTGTCTGAGGGGAAAAATAAAAGGAAGCAAGCAAAGCAAGAGAAAGAGGATGAGAGACCAAAACAAACAAATAGCGAAAATACAAAAGACAGATCTCCACCCCCCAAAAAAGAATAACAATTGGTAACCTGTATGTCCAAGAGTAGAGTAATAATTAAGTAAATTGTATTCTTTCCATTAGATGTAATACTATGCGGCTATTGGAAGTTACAATTTTAAAAACTGGCTGTGTGAAAAATGCTTTTGATAGAAGAAATTTTACATAGTATTGATGAAGCATCTTGTAGTGGAGAGAATATGGATTTCGGCACATCTCTAAATCCTAGTCTTGATGTTTTCTAAGGGGCTTTGGGTTAGTTACTTTGTCTGAGCCTCAGTTCTTCTCTATAAATAATATATTCATAAGTTAGTTGTAGAATTAAGCAAAATATATCAAGAGCCTACACAATGCTTGGCTCATAACACAACATTTTAGGTTTTCATTTTTGTTATGTACGTAAAATGTGTGCATTGTGTGAATTTGACTTTATTGAAATAGACAAGATGAGAATACTGGAAATGATTATGTGTTAGGGTAGTAAAATTATATTTTAAATTTTGTATGACAATTTTTTTTAGAATAAAAATGTTTAAGGAAGAAATGATTTACTTGTTCTGCTAAAATAATGTAATTAATAATTGTAGGATCCTTAAATTTAGTTGCAATGGGATTTTGTTAGGTTGCATTATTGGATACTGTATTTTCAGATTTCAGAAGCTGAAGATTAAATAATTGGTGTTCAACCTGTTTAATAAATTGTAAAAGGAAATGCTCTGAATTCAGGGAAAAAGAGGTGTTTACATATCTTCCTTGCTGTTGTTTTTTTTTTTAATTTCATAGTACTAGTTGTGTAGGATAGTTAATGCATGTACATGAATATATATGTATTCTATAAAGTAGCTCTAGTATTCACAAACCTCCTCTACCTACTGTTGTCCATTTCTAACCTCTACCTTTACCTTTGAGAGTGGGAATATAAGAAATGAGTAATAAGGGAAGCTGCCTGAGAGCAATTTAAATAATGCCTTCTGCCAAAAAACAGATTAAATTCTTAAAGGTAGAAAGAACACAGAGCAGAGAGATACCATTTTGTGTACTTTGTCTTGTGAAGCACTGTGATCTACTTAGCATACATTGTCCATATGTGCTGCCCACTGAGTCATAATGGTAGTTTTGTTATACGGAATTTTTTATGACTCTCTTTTTTAATGTGTTTTAAATATTTTAGGAGCCACTGGAAGTGGGGAAATGGTCTGTACAATATGTCAAGAAGAGTATTCAGAAGCTCCCAATGAAATGGTTATATGTGACAAGTGTGGCCAAGGTAACATTGATTTCTTTTAATCTTGGGGAAAAGTTGTTACATATTGAATGCCTATGTTGAAGATTAATGGCTAAAAATACTTTACATTGATAATTTGAAATTATTATCTTGCTTATTAATTGTAAATATATTAATGTAGGAAATGATAATACTAAAATGCATTCTTGAAACTGTGTTGAAAGTATTAATGAAATAGAATTTGCTTTATGCTTTTTTTGATATTAAGGATATCATCAGTTGTGTCACACACCTCATATTGATTCCAGTGTGATTGATTCAGATGAAAAATGGCTCTGTCGACAGTGTGTTTTTGCAACAACAACAAAGGTATATTTTAAGTGTTTTGGGCTAAAGCCCTGATGGAATTTGTAAGACATTATCAACGTAATGATTGTGTACACTGGAAGTTTGTTTGAATGAAATGAGCAATGAATGCTAGGTGGAAAGTGTTTATTTGACTAATGATACTTAATTGATTTTTTAAACAATGCTTTCACTTATTTGATGATAGTAATATGAGAATTGGTGTAATAATTTGAAAGAAGGAAAGAAAAATGGAGATTATTATTAATCAGACAGTTTGTGATAAGGTAAAAGTTTGGAATGGAAACTTCTCCAGAAGTGTCAGAGTCATTTTTAAAGTATAGAATTGTGTTTAAAAGTTTAGCCTTCACTCTTTCACATTTTTTTTTTCTTCTAATGCAGAGGGGTGGTGCGCTTAAAAAAGGACCAAATGCCAAAGCATTGCAAGTCATGAAGCAGACATTACCCTATAGTGTGGCAGACCTTGAATGGGATGCAGGTCATAAAACCAATGTCCAGCAGTGTTACTGCTATTGTGGAGGCCCTGGAGAGTAAGTAAATAGAATTATGTAATTCCCCTTAAGTAACTTTTATTTGCTTGCCTTAGCTATTTTTCTTGATTATGGTGTGTGAGTGATGGTGAATTGCAACTGCATGAACACATCAGTGAAGAAAACCAGGGGGAAAATCTATTATTTTCGTTAAAAAATAACTCTCAACTAGTTTTTGATCATATCCACACATTAAAAAATCTTATAAATCTTATATCCTGGAAACTTAAAGTGAATTATAAATATTATCATAAAGTTAGCTATTTGAAGGAAAACATTTAATGCAGGGGCCCAGTATCAGTAGTTTCATTGGTTGTCATATTTAATGTGATTGACCAGTTAGAAACTGTTATATTTAGTTATAATTTGAATGGGAGAGTAAGAGACAAGTTTTTTTTTTTTTAAATGTAAAAGCAACATGGAACTTTTTCACAGATTAGTGATTTCTTCTACATATTTTCATTTCTTTCTTTTTTAGAGTGATAGGGCACAGATTGTAGTGCAGTAACATGATCATAACTCACTACAGCATTGAACTTCTGGGATCAAATGATCCTCCTGCCTCAGCCTCCGAAGTAGCTAGGAGCGCAGACACGTGCCACCACACTTGGCTAATTTTAGAAAGTGTTTTTTTTGTAGAGACAGGTTTTTGCTATGTTGCCCAGGCTGTTCTAAAACTCCTGGCCTCAAGCAATCCTCCTACCTCAGCCTCCCAAAGCAGGATGGGATTACAGGCCTGAGCCACCATACCTGGCCTGGAGTAGCACTCTTATTTTTTTCCAGAACTTTTTCTTTGCATGTGCAACTTGGCCAGCTGTTTGGTGCAAGAGGCCTAGCTTTTGGGATATCTTGGCTTTTGACATACCTTCCTAATGTTTGATTTTTGTAACTCTGAACACTTAGAGGACATTGTGAATTTTTTTTTTTTTTTTTAAGAGAAAGGTTCTTGCACTGTTACCTAGGCTGGAGTGCAGTGGCGTGGTTATAGCTCATGGCAGCATTGAACTGGGCTCAAGCAATCCTCTCATCTCAGCCTCCTGAGGAGGTAGGACCACAGGCATGTACCACCACACCCAGCTTGTTTTTAAATTTTTTTGTGGAAATGGAATCTCTCTATTTGTCCATATTGGTCTCCAACTCCTGGCCTCAGGTGATTCTCCCACCTTGGCCTCCCAAAGTGCTGGAATTACAAGCATGAGTCACTGTGCCTGGCCTCCACTGTAAGATTATTAATTAGCCTAATTTCAATATTGTTGTGTCTCAGGGAGTAGGAAGCTTGAGGAGAGGGAGAGGGATGGAGAATGGCTGATTGGTAGTAGTCAGGAGACATACAACATTCAGTGATTAAGTTTGCCATCTTACATGGGCATGGTTTGTGGTGGCCCAAAATAATTATTGTAGTAACATCAAAGACCACCGATCACTATGAAAGATGTAATACTAGTAATAATCAAAAAGTTCGAAATATGGGAATTTCCAAAATGTGACACAGACATAGGTAAGCATATGTACCTGGAAAAATGGTGCTGATAGACTTAATCGAGGTAGACCCCTACTTGGTGACTTTTATTATTTTCAAATAAAGATAATCGTATCAAAACTACGCATACTAGCCAGGTGTGGTGGTGTGTGCCTGTATTTCCAGATACTTGGGAGCTGAAGTAGGAGGGTCACTTGATCCTTTGAGCCCTGAAGTCCAGCCTGATCTCAATGTAGCCCTATCTCTTAAAACAAACCCAAAATCCATGTACTAACTGAAAAGAGAGGATAATCTTTCTTAGATAAAGATTCAATTTTAGCATTTTTAGCTTTCTCAAGCAGATCTATAGACCATATATGAAATATAGCTAAATCGGTCAAAAGCCTTTATACCTGGTAGTCTTAGATTAGATTTATGATGTTAAGCAAGTTTATTAAATTGTTATATTGTTTTTATTATAGTTGACAGGAATAATAGAAACACAGTAAAGCTATAAAATGGAATGTTTATAACCTGAAAGCTGTCTAAGGCCATTTGATATTTGGGACAAGCAAGAGTACCCCTGAATCTGACCTCTCCTGGGGTTTAGAGAGTTGGTGTGAACAAAAGCCCAGAGGCTGGGCATGGTGGCTCACACATGTAATCCTACTACTTTGGAAGGCTGAGGCCAGAGGATCACCTGTGCCCAGGAATTGGAAACCAGCCTGGGCAACATAGAGGGACCCCAGTTCTGCTTAAAAAAATATATATACTAACTGAGCTTGGTGGTGCATGCCTGTGGTCCTGCCTACTTGGGAGGCTGAGGTGGGAGGGTTGCTTGATCTTGGGAGGTCGAGGCTGCATGAGCCATGGTGCACTCTAGCCTGGACAGCATAGCAATACCCTGCCTCTTAAACAAAATAAAACAAAAAAAAAACCACTTAGGCTTGTGTTTTAATAGAGCTCATTTAACTAGTGTAGGAGCCAGGCATTTTTAACTAAAGGTAGTAGTTGTATCTTTCAAGAGCTTATAAAATTTCATGAATCAAAGAGAGAAGAGAGATGAAATAGCTGATATTATAAGCCTTTTTGGAAAAGGAAATATTTACAGTAAGTAAAGTAGAAGTGTGATACTTTAATTAGAACAGCATTGTGGATTATGCCACTTTGTTGTTGTTTTTAAGAAATGAACCTTTCCTTAAAACATTTTAATGTTAACTTTTTTCTTTTTTTTAATAGCTGGTATTTAAAGATGCTACAGTGCTGCAAATGTAAGCAGTGGTTTCATGAGGCTTGTGTGCAATGCCTTCAAAAACCAATGCTGTTTGGAGACAGGTGAGAAGGGCATTTGAACTTTACTGGCTGATTTTTGTCTTTTTAATTGTGGTTATGTTTGCGACTTCAGATTTCTAAAGATAGTTTCAACAATGATTGGTAAAAGGGTTGTCTCAGAGGGAAAATAATTGAATGATATACTTAATATATACATAATTGATATGAATTTTAATGATAATGTAACGTATATACCTAATTGAGTGATATACTTAAAATATACATAATTTTTGTGCTTTTGGATTTTATTCCAGAAGGCTTTTAAGTATTGTCAGTAATTCCATTTGCTCCTGTTGACCCACAGTACTGTGATGTATTCTCATTGAGGTTCCTTTAAAGAACCTCAGAGGGCTGTTATTGCAGAGAAAAGACCACAGGCCTTGTTAAAGACACAACATATGTCTTAGAAATAAAGAATTTCTAAAAGCAGACTCAATGTACTTTCTATATTAGAAGAATGCAGAGTAGTGCAGTGAACTCCAGGAACAGAAAGCTGGACCACTAAATTAGACATCTGAAAACCTGGGTTTAAATCTTGGCTTATGCCACTTAATTTTCTTTCTGACCTTAGGGAATTCCACTTGTCTCTTTGGGCTTGTTTTATCAGGTTATTTTAAACATTGAATTAAATGATGTATATGGGGGCAACCATCATAGTTGCTGGCACACAAAAGCTATTAGTAAGCTATGAGTACATGTGAGTCTGTCTATAAACTTTGAAGGTCTCCAGTGGTTTAAAAAAAAAGATCTTTCTCTTCACATATGAACTATTTCATTATTTGTTGTTATTGGAAAAGAACTTTCCTCAATCACAGATAGCGGTAAAATTTAAATTATATTTCATTTTGATTATCAGTC